CAGCCACTCAGTGGCCGTGAGTTTGGTGTTGTGTGTGTGTGTGTGTATAAAGGACATTCCAGGAAGACTAGGAAATATTTGTCAAGGCATATATTAATCAATATGAAGAGATAAATTTCTTCTCTGACATGTCTGTGGTGTTGGTCACAGCATTGTCTAACCACGAGAGCACATTGTATTTTCATTTTGTCCTGCTCAACACGACTTATTGTTCCTACTCCTAACAGAATAGGGAATTTTGTTTTGGACATATTTGACATCAAAAGTAGGGTATCAAACCTGTATTCCCTCCATAAACCCCTAAGGAATTGATGGTTTTCCATCACACTTAACAGAAACTCGGTGTCTCTTAAGCATTGTGGGTGTATATGGTATCTCACTGTGATCCTAATCTACATTTTTCTATTGATTAATGATGCAGAGCATCTATTCATGTGCTTATTGGGCATTTGTAAATCTGCTTTGGAGAAATGTTTATTTAAATAATTTTTTCATTGTTAAATTGAGCATTTGTCTAACTGATGAATTCAAAGAGTTCTTTGTATGTTCTGATACCAGAGTCATATCAGATTCATGGCTTCCAAATATTTTCTCTCACGCTGTCAGTTGTCTGTTCATTATTTTGTAGGGTACTTTGAAAGCCCCTTTTTTTTCACCTTTGAGGAGTTTCCTTGATCTAGTCCTTTGTTAGTACTTGTACAAGAAAATCCAAGGCCAAAAAAAGTCATCAATGTTCTTTTCTAAGATTGCATAGTTTTAATTCTCAGATTTGGGTTTTGATCCATTTTAAGTCAATATTAGCAGATAGCCCACTGTATTGCCACCATGTCAAAAATCAATTGGTCATAGATGGTTTATTTATTTTTTTTAATAGATCATTTTATTGGGGGCTTTTATAGGTCTTATAACAATCCATACATCAATTATATCAATCACATTTGTATATATGTTACCATCATCATTTCCAAAACATTTTCTTTCTACTTGAGCCCTTGGTATCATCTCTTCTTTTGCCCCCTCCTTACCCCACCCTTGTGACCCCTTGATAATTTTTCTTTAATTACTAAATACTTTCATTGGGGGCTCTTGCATCTCTTATCACAATCCATACATTCTTCCAGTGTGTCAAGCACATTTGCACATATGCTGCCATCATCATTTTCAAAGCATTCTCTTCCCACTTGAGCCCCTGATATCCGCTCCCTTTTTCTTTCCCTCCCCTTCACTGCTCACCCTTCCTCACGAACCCCTGATAAGTTATAGAGTATTATTTTCATATCTTACATCGTCCTCCATCACCCCTCACCCACTTTTCCATTGTTTGTCCCCCTGAGATGGGGTTATAGGTTGATCCTTGTGATCGATTCCCCCACCCTCCCCTAATCTTCCTGGCATCTCTACTCTCATTGTTGGCCCTGGGGGAGTTTATCTATCCTGGATTCCCTGTGTTGTGGGCTCTTGTCTGTAGCAGTGTCCATATTCTGGCCTAATCCGATTTGTAAGGTAGAATTGAGGTCATGATAGTGAGAAGAAGGAAGCACCAAAGAACTAGAGGAAAGTTGTATGTTTCATCAGTGCTATACTACACCCTGACTGGCTCATTTCTTCCCTGTGACCTCTCTATAAGGGGATGTCCAATTATCTCCAGATGGGCTTTGGGTCTACATTCTGCGTTCCCCCTCATTCACATTGATATGATTTTTTGTTCTGGGTTTTTGATGCCTGATATCTGATCCCATCGACACCTCATGATCACACAGACTGGTGTGCTTCTCGCATGTGGGCTTTGTTGCTTCTCAGCTAGATGGTCACTTGTTTATCCTCAAGCCTTTAAGACCCCAGATGCTATAGCTCCTGATAGCCAGGCACCATCAGCTTTCCTCACCACATTTGCTTTTGCACCCATTTTGTCTTCAGCGATCGTGTTGGAAAGCTGAGCATCAAAGAATGCTGGGTTATTAGAACAAAGTGCTCTTACATTGAGGGAGTACTTGAGTAGAGGCCCAAATGTCCACCTGCTACCTTAATACTTAACATATAAATATATGGACATAACTCTATTTCCCTATCATTATATATATTTACATGTGTACATGCCTGTATTTAGATCTCTGTAAATGTCCTTTGCCTCCTCCTTCTTTCCTCTATGTCCTTTTACTTTCCTCTTGTCCCACCATCATGTTTGGCCTTCATTCAGGTTTCAGTAATTCCTCTTGGCTACACTGCCACTGATCAAACCCCACCAGGCATCATACGCCCGCCTCACCATTAATTTTAGATCACTTGTTGTTCCCTTGTCCCTGGGTTTGTTGACACTCCCATTTCTTCCCTCTGCCTCCCCCTCTCCCGTGTCCCCACGGAACTGTCGGTCCCGTTGTTTTCTCCTCCAGATTGTTTATCCCACTTATCTAGATAGACATGCAGAGACAATAATAAGCACAAAAACAAGACAGAACAAGACAAAACAATGAAAGAAAACCAAACCAAAACAAAACAACAAATACATAAATATTAATTAATATTAAACTATTTTCTAAATTTCATTTCTATACTCTTCACTACAAATGTACAAAACTACAATTGGTACTGTAGACTAATCTTGTATTCTACAGCCTTGTTGAACTTAGCACCAGTAGATTTTCTGGCTACTTTTAAGATTTTATATAGACAAGATCAATCTATCTATAAGTAGAGCAAATTTTACTTCTTTTCTAATGTGGATTCTTTTACCCTCTTCCTTGCCTAAAACTAGAACCTCCAATATGATGCTGAATCAATGTGTTGAGAGCAGAAATCCTGGTTTTGTTTTGCCATTAAGTATGATGCTAGCTGGGAGATTTTCATAAATATCCTTTATGACATTGAGGAAGCGGCCTTCCAATCTTAATACATTTCATGACTTTATTATAAAATCATTTTGAGGCATTAAAGTTATCGTGTGTTTTTCTCCTTTACAGTCTGTGAAAGTGGTACATTAGACTGGCTGATTTTCTTATATTGAACCAAATGCTGTATTCCTAGGATAAATCACGTTGTCTCTCATATAATCGTGTTTATATATAATACCGGAAGTAATTTTGTAAAATATGTGTTCGTGGTAATATGTTATCACTGAAGTCTCTGACAGGGTAGCTTGGAAGTCAGCTGATGATTAATTAGCAGAGGTTTCTTTAAGTGCCCAAACCTAGCAAGTCTCCTAGTGAATGTCTTTGATTTTCAGCCAGGCAGTAGTGTACACTCTGCCTTAGCCTTCGATTCTTACTAGCACAAAGCCTCCTGTTAGCTAGGGTGAGGGCTTAGGTTACTGCCCCATCTTGTTGGGCAAGTGCATACCTTGGCCACACACACAGCTTTTTCCAAGTGTGGCTTTTAGAGTCCCCGGGCTGAGGCAGAGATTTCCCAAATCCCCTGGGGACCTCTTGCTGCCTAAGTTTTCCTTTGATACTTTGGGCTCCAAGTGTTATTCATTAATTCAGGAAGGTATGATGTTAAGCAGCTCTCTCTAATTGTTTTTGACAGAGGACAGAGTCGTTTGATCCTCCCTCCATAACAGGAAGCTAAGTAGATGGACATATTTTCACTTAAGTATGACTGATTTGGCTACTTCCGATGGAATTTAATCATGAGTGATGGTCAATATCATTAGAAGCGTTTTAACATACAAAATGAACATCTGTCCATTTGAAGCATGAAGGTCAGATATTTAAGTTTTTCTTAAGAGATATTACCACATGCATGGCCTTCCTCTTCCTCTCTCATCTTCCTTCTCCTAGCAGTCCACCCACCACTACTCTAACCACCAGCTGCCTATGACGAGCATGACTGATATTTGGCCCAGCACTCAACCTGCCCCAATAAAGGAAACCACAGCATCCAAGTTGGCTGTGCAACATTTGCACGACCTCAAGTTCAAATAAAGAAATGAGCGAAATGGACAAGGAAACAAGGAAAATTTCCCCCTCCCCGCCCCCACCCAGAACGCACTATGATGTGCATAGTCTATCTTGTTTCCTAACCACTAAGTTCACCCAAGAGGAAGTCCAAAGCTTGAGAGTAAAAGCAGACTTTTGCACACACACACACAAAAGGAAACTTTCTTTATGGACATAGCTATTTTTTTTTTAAATTTTCGGACGTAACTATTTTTAACAGTGGCAGAAAGGCTGGTTACCTCTCATCCTTGAATCTGGAAGTGTGGGGGATGACTTAGAACCACAATTCATGAGCACCCAAGCTGGCTTGCAGGTTTCTTGTTTCTGGTTTTGTTCCAGTTCTCCATCCTCCACAACCCTGCTCCAAGCCCTGGTGGCAGAGTGGGTGAGGTTGGCTGCGAACCTCAAGGTCAGCAGTAGGATTTCACCAGCCATCTGGCTGAAGATGAGACGGCTCCTGTCACGATTCACAGCCTCGGAAGGGCACCGGTGTCTACTCTGTCCTCTAGGGTCACCATGCGCTGGAATCAGCTCGAGGGCGGTCGGGGACGGCTCTGCTCAGCTGGGATACCCGCCCAGCCTTACCCATCGGTTCTAACTTAGCTCCAGGCGCTTGCCACCCCAGACGGACTCCCCGTGAAGCAAAGGCAGGCTTCCCCAAACCTGCTTTCTGGTGACAGTTCTGCCTCCCACCACTCTCTCACAAATCCAAGTGCCTCGCATAGATTCACCATCCCTTCTCTGCCAGAGCCAGGTTCATGCCCACTCCCTTACCCCAACGTGGGCATCTTCTCCCTTCCTCAGACCGTGCCCCCCAAGGGTCCTCCTTTCAAATCCACAGCCCCCTTCGAAAGACCCCCTGTCTCCACTCATCCCCTTCTCCCTCAGCTGCCTTGGCTCCCCGGATTCTGGGCCCCCAGACTTCTCCCATCTGAGTCACACCCCTCAAACTCTCTCTTCTGGGCACGCCCCTCAGACCCCAAGTTCTACCTGGCCCCGCCCCGCAGACCCTGGCCTGTCTGGCCACGCCCCCTCCAGACCAGCGCCCTCCTGGTCCACGGCCCTCACCTGCAGCCGGCTCCCCGCGCTCATCTGGGTCTGCTGCACGAAGGGGTTGGGCACGGGCGGCGGGATGAAGGACGCCTGGCGGGGCACCATGGGCGGCCGCAGCCCCGCATCTCCGACGCCCGCACCCGGCACCGTGGCCGCCACCGCCGCAGCCTCGGCGCACCGGTTCATAGCTGAGCCAGGCGTCCGACCCGACCGACCGACCGACGGGCGCACAGCGCCTGCGAGCGTCGCAGCCAGAGCCTCAAGGGAATCCCAGGCTGAGGTGCCGCTCCCGGGTCTCTGCGCAGGCGCCAGTTACCTAGCCGGGCGCTAGCCTGGCCCCGCCCCCGGCCCCGCCCCCCGGCGCTAGCCCCAACCTTCAAGGTGTCAGACACTTCCTCCTTGTTAACACAGTCCCGCCCACTGGAGGTGGAGGTTTTCCCTTCGGAAGCAGGATCCTAAGGGTAGCCTGGTTTTGCCATCCCCTCAAAGAGACAGTTGAAGCAGAGTTCTCTGCTGCAAAGATTTCCAACATATTACTGGCTCTACAGCCTTCATTACTGGTTCTGTGAAAACCGTTTGTGCACAGTTCAAAGGTTTGCAAGGCATACATCGCAGCTTGCTTACACAAACAAGCCATATGGAAGCCCTCAAGAGTCTCGTTTCCCAATATCGCTGGCACCTCAAGACCCAGAGCACACCAGCTGAGGTCTCTGCAGCTTCGTTCTTCCCTCCTCCTGGATTTAGACAGAAGCCTCGGAGGGTAGGTGAAAGTCCAGGCTGAAGCAGAGACTGGACCAAAGACCAGCACCTTTGCCTTCCTCGGATGTCACCTCACAGTCTTTATCCTGGTCCACAGCACTGCCCCCCACCCCCACCCCCACCCCGAGGAGCCTCTTCAAAAGCCAACTAGTTGACAGCAAGTTGACGCGGTCTCATGGTGATCTCAGGTATGCCAGAGTAGAGCGGTGTTTCTCAGGGCTTCAAATGGTTGGTATCTAGGGGGTAGGTCATTGGGACTCTCTCCCAAGGTGCCCCTAAGTGCCAACTCTGCATTTAGCAATCAAGCATGTTAATAGATTGCACTAGGGACACAGAGATTTTACTTCTCCATCACTGCAAGTGAAACATGAAGGATCTTTTAAAGTGGACAGACAGACCCAACGGGACAGAGGCCTTAAATAACCCAGCATCACTTTCCAGGAAGATCAGGCTCAAGGCAACTGCTCTGTTTAGTCTTAGAAGGAACCACCTGTTGGGTTGGGTTGAAAACACCAGGCTTCCAGACATTTGGAAGCATGCAGCTTTAAAGATCACGCCGAGACTCGATCCAGCAAGACTAGGAGCAGCCACGGGCCCATCTCATCCAGTTAAAGAATCTATTCAGTTTTGTGTTGTTTGCTCGGTTTCCAGTGCATGCTATGTTTTTGCTTAAACCACGTTGAGTTGTCAGTTACAGTTGGGTCTTGACTAACACAAAAATCGGTACCAAGCATGGAATTTGGGTGATGGCTCTGCAAAGAAATATTGAACTATTACCAGAAGGAGGCAAAAACAACAGATGCCATCCAAGATGAGGAACCCGGCCCAGAAAAGGGAAATGACTTGGGCCGTGGCTCTGCTTCACCCTGGGGAAGTGCAGGGGCCTGTCTGGTCATGAGTGGCAGGGAGGGAAACAGGGCTGCCCAAGAACAGAGACCAGCTGGTGAAGGCCAGGCTGAGAATCTAGTTAGCTCTGGGACAGCTGCTCCCCCAAACTTGTTCCCTGTGGAATCTGAGCATCTCTTAACCCATCCAGACCCTGGTATGACCTCCAGCCACTTAAGCGCCCTGTTTCTTCATCCAGGAAGTGAGAGAAGAGTCGCCCCCACTCTCTGTGGTTGTGGTGATAACTAAATGATAAGGCCATGTGTCTTGATCATAGAAATAGTTCCTTTTAGCTAACTGCACCCAGTATGACTGAGGGCCTTGCGGTTGGGAGCCGTTCCATCAATCCCGACTCACAGTGACCCCACAGGAGAGCAGTAGACTAGCTGGATGGGTCCCCACCACCCACCTTTCAGGTAGCGCTAAACACGTAACCGTCACCTCTTACGGAGAATCTTAATAACAGTGTATTAAAGCCAAGATATAAGCATTCTCAAGGACTCAAGGCGCTCCCCAGAGTGGGCATCTTCAAGTAGGTTACAGCAGTCCTTTGTAACTTTTTAGTCTATCACTTGCTCAGAAAGCTATCTCTGCAGGGTCCTTCAGGCCATCGAAGTCTTCTCCAGAGATCTGTCCACTCCCCCAGCCCTTTCTACACCAGCCCCACCTTGAGCGGCTTACACCAAGGTGGACCATGCTGGAAGGCGCTTTTGAAAACCCCCAGGCTTGCACATCTCCGTTCCACAGCAGCTCCAGAAGGGCTAGCCAGGGACTCATTTGAAGCGAGCAGTCTAGCTCCAGACTTCTTTTCCTAGGAGCTGGGCTTAGAAAGCAGCATGCATTTCTCCCCTGGGGGTGTTCACTTGAGTGCCTTTGGCCATGACATCGAGGATGCTGCTGATGGAGAAGATGGGTTGAAGCCCCTCCTCTAGGCCCACGCTTTGGCCTTGGCTGGGACTGTTACTTAACAGCTATAAGGCCTATCATCCGTTTCCTCATCTACAAAATTCAGTGAATACAATCTCCATCTTTAGGCTAAATTAAGTGGTGCCAGTAAAGTGCTTTCCACAGAGGAAGCACTCTGTTTAATGGGGGGGGGGTGTTCTTGGGGAGACAGTAGGCATTGAGCTCACTTCGATTCATGGAGCCCCTGCGCGTGCCAGAGTAAACTGTGATCCAGAAGCCTGTCAATGGCTGAGTTTTCAAAAGTGGAGTACCAGGCCTTTCTTCCTAGTGACCTTTGAGGTGACTCCAACCACCCACCTTCTGGTTAGTAGACAAGTGTAGTAACCATTTTGGGTCTCAGTCAGTGGGGTCTCAGTCAGTGGGGAGGGTGGTGGTAGTGTTGCTGGTCATGGTATTGAGGAGTAGCATTAGAATTAGTATGATTGGTAATGAAGAAACTAAGAGAGAAGGGGCCCTTGGGCAAACGACTCCACAGCTCAAATTCTAGGACTGCTGCTGGTTTTGGTCCCGTCCCCCCCAGAAGAGAGGGGCTGTAGCTCACCTACTGGGGGGCAGGGGGCTTTACTTGGCAGTTCTGATCTTTTCAGCAGAGGCTACCTGAAGTGAGGGAAGTGAGGAGGTGGGCCTTTCACATTTCCTTTAGTGATGAAGGCTGCGGCCCCTCTCAGGATTCTGCTAAAAAAGCTAGCAAATGATGCTGCTCCGGCGCTGCTTATTCCTGCTGGCTGGCATTTCCCATGGGGAACGGTTGAAAGGAGAGAGCGGAAGGGCTGAGTAGAGACATGTCTTGTTTTCCTCCATCCAGTAGAGGAAGTGATGGGTGGGGCCACACTAATTAGGGTGCAGGAGGGACAGCGCTCCGTGCGCTGAGAGCCACTGTGCAGTGACGTCACACAACCTGAGTCCTTCGGTCAGGAAATGAATTTCAAAGTAGGGGGCAGGGGCTGGGGTGGGTAGGTCAAAAATAAAAGAACAAAGTGCATACAAAGCAAACTGCTAACGTCTGAAAGGTTTGAAGGCATCCAGCAGTAAGAGGGCAGGTGTTTGGGGTGACCACCTGGCCATGCCCCGTCCCACTGTCCCATGTCAGGCCAGCTGTCAGGCCACCAGTGGCCTCTTGAGACAGTCTCTGTTGGCTCTAAGGATGCTGAGAGCCACAGAGGTTATGGAGGGAGAAGACCCTGAAGTGGGAACAGCACCAGGAAAGCCCAAGGCAGGGCTGCGTTGACAATCTCAAAGCATGTGTTTGGGGTGGCTCTTGAAGACGGATGGGACTAGGGGAGAATGGGTATCATCAGCACCTTTCCTTGGGCCCAGGGTGAGGCCGCGCTTCAGAAGCTGAGATGACCAGGTGGAGGTGAGAAGGCTGATTAGCTACAGAGTTGGAGGAGGGGCTGCCAGCCCCATCCGGGTCCTCCCCTGGTGCTCAGGGCCCCCGTGCGTGGACGGCGATGGAGAGAGAGGGAGGCAGGGCCGGCGGGAGCCAGCCCGGCTCAGCAGCTCAGCCAGTCAGATTTGATGCCGCCGAACTTGACGCTTTTCAGACTTTGGTTCTCCAGCTTCAGGTAATAGGCTCCCTTGAAGAAGTAGGTGTGACCTGAGGCAGAGAAAGGAGAGAGACTGAGCGCTCCATTCCCAAGCCCTGTGGGGAGCTCCGGGTGTTTGCCTGGCCTAGGGAAGAAGCTTTCAGACCAGAGGAGGACCCCTCTGCCCGGAGGAGGGCAATGGCAGCCAAGTAAGTTCTTCAAGTTCCTGTTTCCACTTCTCTCAGATGAAGAAGAAGATATCAAACACTTAAGGCTTGTGGTAGGAACTAACGTCGGTCGGTCAGTAAACACACGTTGTTCATAATAATAGTTACAGCGCCCTGCTTAGCATGAGCACTGAACATATCGCAGACGCAAGCCAGGAGGCTTCGGCCTGATCAGGCCCACCGACGGGTTTTAGTTGGCTTACCCCTTGCCGTCATGTCGGTTCTGACTCCTAGGGACTGTAGGACAGGCCAGAACTGCCCATGGGGTTTCCAAAGCTGCCAGTGTGCCGAAGCAGTTTGCGCCATCATTTTCCTGTGGAGGCAGCTGATGGATTTGAACTGCCACCCTCGTGGCTCAGAGGCGAGGGCTTTTACCACTGAGCCACGAAAGTGCCTTGATTTGGTTTATACTTTGTTATTGCTGCTGCTATTTCGTTTGTTTTAAATCACTTTATCAGGAGTTCTTACAGATCTTATAACACTCCATACATTAATTGTATCAAGCATATTTGAACATATGTTGCCATCATCATTTCCTGAACATTTGCTTTTTATTTGAGCCCCCGGTATCAGCTCTCCCCCCCAACCCTCATGAATCCTTGATCAGTTATATATTGTTATTATTTCCTGTCTTACACTGTCCACTGACTCCCTTCACCTACATTTTTGTTATTTGTCTCCTTCGGGGTGGGGAGGCTATATATCAAACCTTGTGATGGGTTCCCCTTTCTCCTCTTTCCCCCTCCCTGACCATCCCCCTACCCTCATGATATGGTTTCTCCCACTCACTACTCTCCCTGACGGGTTTACCTGTTCCGAATTCCATGTGTTGAGAGCTCTTATCTGTACCAATGTGTATACTCTGGTCTAGCCGGATTTGTAGGGTAGAACTGGTCATGGTAGGGGGCGGGGCGGGGTGGAGGAAGCATGCTGGAACTAGGGGAACGATGTGTGATTCGTCCGTGCTATACTGCATCCTGGTTGAATTGTTCCTTCCTTGTAACCCTTCTGTGGGGGGACATGTACAATTGTCTACAGATGGGCTTGCTGCTTTGTTTTAATTCTGAGTAAGGTGCTAACATGTAAAGACCTAGAAACTGCACCTGTCACTGCACTATTCTGGTTTCTCAGGACCATGCAGCGGAGGCCCTCCTCTTGTGGGAGAACAATCAGCAGAAGCTGGGAAGCAGCTGTCCCAGGTGGATGGGCTCTAAGGAGCAAACATGTAAACACCTGGGGGGGTTTTACCTGAAAGTAGAATTCTGGATCCTGCTCACCCTGCCTCCTGGGTGTCTGCCCCGGTCTGCTTCATGAAGTTGTTATTCCTGCCTGGCTGTGGTGGCTCATATATTGGGCTGATAACTGCAGAGTCAGCAGTTTGGACCCACTAGCTGCTCTGTGGGACAGAGATGGTCCCTTTTGCTCCCGGAAAGAGTTACAGTCTTGGGAACCCACAGGAGCAGCTCTACCCAGCCCTACAGTGTCACTCTGAGTCAAAAGCAAGTGGAAGCCAGGGGTGAGCCTGGCCTCTACAGATTTTGGGATTTATGACTCCTGACATACCTGCAAAGAGCCCTGCAGGCACATTGGGTTAGGTATTGAGCTGCTACCGACAGGTCAGTGGCGCAAACCTACCAGCTATTCCGAGGGGAAAAGATGAGGCTGCCTGCTCCCATAAAGATGTTATAGTCTTGGAAACCCTACATAGCAGTGTTGGAACCCTGGTGGCACAGTGGTTACACGTTTGGCTACTAACCATAAAGTCAGCAGTTCAAAGCCATCAGTCCCTCTATGAGATAAAGAGAAGGTTTTCCACTCTCAAAAAGAGTGACAGGCTTGGAAATCAGTAGAGGGAGTTCTACCCTGGCCTTATAGACTGGGTATGAGTCAGAATCAGCTTAATGGAGGTGAGTTTGTTTTGGGAGAAGGGGATGCCAAATGGGCATTACTGCCCCCTGGTGAGCACTGGAATGACCCATACTGAACTCACTGCCATCGAGTAGAAGCTGTCTCACTGGCCCTATGGGCCAGTGCAGAACTGCCCTCCTCACTATCGGAGACTGTAACTCTTTTCAGAAAAGAACCAAACAAGCAAACAAGCTCACGGCCACTGAATCTGACTCCATTCTGACTCACGGTGACCCTAGAGGACCAGGTAGAACTGACCCTGTGGGTTTCCGAGGCTGCAACTCTTTATGGGAATAGAAAGCCTTGTCTTTCTCCTAAGTAGTAGCTGGTGGTTTCGAACTGCTAACCTCACAGTTGTCAGTCCAGTTCGTAAGCACTACGTCACCAGGGCTCCTGGAGTGATCAAATGCAGATACCTTAACTTTATCCTAGATGATGGGCGATAGTTCTTAATTGCCAGGGGGGTACTGAGTAATTTCTTTTTCCCCCTGAAAAGAGGATGGTAGACCGAATGAGTTCGGGAAGTTCTACTACACAATCCACTTGTTGTCAGTGGGTTTGTTTTGGGGCACACATAATCTTTCTTACTTCTAAAATTTGGCAGAGTAGCTGCTTTTAAAGATAGTTCTTAATTTAAAACGCGATTGTGTACTGAGTTTTTGGAACACTATGAGACCTTTAACAACGGCAGATCAAAGCTGTATGTCCTTAGCATATTGTGAGGGCTCAAAAAATATTTGTGGAGGTTAGCTGAATCCTTCTTTAATGAGCCAGGCCAGGCTCATTCCCAGACCCCCGAGAACTCACAGGAGCCTCCTTGAGAATGTACTTCTCAAATTGCACGGTCTTTTCCTCACCGATACAGCCGGTGTTGGAGTCCGCTAGAGACCAGGGCCGAGGGTTAAGTGGGGCTCTTTGCCACATCAGCAACAGAGCACGACAGAGTTTGTCCTGTCTCAAATGGAGACACCCTTCTGTTCGTGAGAGGTGGTCACAAGGCCTTCTCTGCAATCAAAGGGCCTGGGCCAAACACCAGACTGAATTCAGGGCACGGGGCCCAGGTTTTCGCCCCCTGGAGGCCTCCTCTGGCTCCCTGGCTCCAGGCCCAGCAGCTGTGAGGGGCCTTTCTGGGCCTTACTGCAGGGAGCAGAGGTCAGGGGCTGGCCACCCGCCCAGCACTGAGCTGAGGGACTGGCTTGTTTTGCGGAGACGGCCACAGGCTTGCCCCAGCACAATGAGGAGTGTGTGCTTGCAAGCACCCAGGCCCTCGCTGGGGGAGGGGAGTCCTAGAAAGCGGGTGTGGGGGGGGGGGTCATGGGAGGGGGTGCTGAGCAGCTTACCACTGCCCTGCAGGTCCATCACAGCATCCAGGTTATCCGGGATGGCGTTCCAGGCATCCGCAATGAGCTTGGGGAAGCCAGGATCCATCTTCTTCTTTACCTCATTGTATCTGCAGAGAGATGGGCATGGTGAGGCTCCCTGTAAGCCATCCTCTCCAAGCCTGGCATGGGAGGGCCCGGCAGAGGGCTCCTGGGTAGCCTTGGAAGCCAGACCTGGCTCTTGTGAGGGACAGCCAGCCAGCTGTTGTGGAAAGAGTATGAAGGCAGGCCCGAGTCTAAGACCCAACTGGACCCTGCGGGAGTTTTGATGGTCCACATGACTTTGGACAAGCAGATAAAAACAATCTTGTGATAACAGTTAACACAGAGAGAATGCTTTCTGCACAGCAGGCAGTGGGTTAAGCGCTTTCTGTGCGCTCTCCTTCAAGCCTCTTGAGAATGCTACGGCCCAGTATTTACCATCATCTCTTTTCAGAGTTCAGACTCTTTGAAAGGGCGCCCAGCTTCCAGGTGGGAGGTTGTGTGACTCAGGCCTGCCTTTCTCACCAAGCCTCAGTCTAACCAACTGCATCATGGGGCTACGTCACGTATTTCCTTGGACAGGTAGGTAGATCCAGAGCTGCCGTCAAGTTGACATTGGCTCTGGGTGACCTTACATGCCACAGAACAAAACAAGCCCAGCCCTGTATCCTCCGCACAACCCCAGCTTGTTCCAGCCCATCATTGAGGCCACTGGCCTAATCCATCTCTCAGGGGTCTCCCGATGCCTGCTGGCTCTCTGTCACCACACAGGGCGGCCTCCCCTAGCAACGGATCCCTCCTGACCATGGGTTCCAAGTACAGGCATTGATCCCGACGCTGCTGCGGTCTGTGAGGTTCTCAATGGCTGATTGTCAGTGGCCGATCACCAAGACTTTCTTCCTACTTACATGGAAAACGCATAGGCCAAGGGTCTAGGCCCGAGGTTCAAAAATTATTTGGCGTTCTGCCTCCTTGGCATGAAAAAAAATGTTTCCCACTCAGCAATCCTCTAGCAGTGAAAAACTTTGATACGACAGCCCAGAATCCAAGATAACATGTAGATAATCTGCTCTTGTCGCTCCCCACCCTGGGGTGATGATCACCCACTTTGGGAACTACCGGGCCACCCTCTGGATAGCCCTTAGGACAAGTCGATCTTTGACCGCTGTCAGTTCCCTTGTCAGTTTTGATCCTTCATGCACTGTGGGGAGTGCCTGACCAGAAGCTCAGGCACAGGGCCCTACCTCATCACGCATACCGTCACGTGCAGAGATGGCCGTCCTGTCTTGCTGACCTCCCGGGAGATTGTCAAGGCCGGGGCAGTGAGGCTACGACCGGGGGTGGGTGGGTCTTAAGTCACAGGGAGGGCCTGCTGCCACCTCCGTCCGGCTAGACCTCTCAGGGCATGTGCCCCGGGCCCCGCCTGACTTCCCACTAACACCTTGGGCACGTTCTTCCCTGCGGCAAGCGATCGTCATCCCTCTGTCTTTGACTGCTAGAGAAGTTTTAAAACACCACGATCACTTTTCTACCTTTGTTTTTCTCCACTTAATCTAGTTACCTCTTCCACAAATACTGAATGAGCTCCCGCCACAGGCCTGTGGGTGCCATGGTAAGCCAGCTGATGTTCCTCCAACACTGGGTTTGATGCCACGCTGGTGACAGCCCCACGGCCCTCTGTAATGCCTCTCTCTCCCTCTCCACAATGAGCCTGAACTTCAGCAACAGCAACCCCTCTGGGCTCCCTGCCCCAGGTTTCTCCTCCTTAGCCCAACATGCCATCCCTCACAGTCTCAACTACAGCCCAACACCTCCTCTGGCCACCTCTAATCTGTGTCTTCGTGACCTGAGTCACCCAATCCAAGAGCCTCAGCTCAAAACACGCACCCACATCACCGCTGTGGAGCCCTCAGGCTGCATTCCCTGGAGTGATTACAGCCCATGCTTGAACGTCCCCTAATTTCCTTTGGATTCTGTCTCATTTTATCAATGGGAAAACTGAGGTTCAGCAACGTGCAGCATTCTGGTCCTGAGTTCTCACCCAGGAATACCGCAGCATCAGAAGAACCCCCTTTCACCTTCCTCTCTGCCCAGCAGCCTCCTGCTACGGTGCGCCCCCCTCACTGGTGCGGGGTTCTGGAAAGCAGTCTCTGGAGCACACTTCTCGGCTCTACCTTTAGGTTTGGAGGCTGTCTACAGCAGCTAGTCCAATCACGAGCCTAGGTGCCCCAGCTTCTCCACTTGTCTGTAACGTCTCTGTTTCCACACCTGTTTCCAAGCCCTAAACCCACTGCCAGGAGTCCACTCTGACGTAGAGTAGAGCTGTCCTGGTGGGTGTGCGAGATGGTTAAGCTTTCCAAAAGCAGAGCGCCTCATCTTTCTCCCTCAGACCCACTGGTGGGTTTGAACCACCAACATTTTGGTCAGCAGTACAATGCACAACCCACTGTGCTGGCCGGCTGGTGGTCGTATGGGTTGAAGGAGAACGCCAGGTGAAGTTCACAGCTGCAGGCCGACGACGTGGCCCAGGTCTGCCCACTGACAGCCACCATTAGTCTGGGTCTTTTTCATTCCCCGTGCTAGAAGCTGCTTGAAGGCAGAATGGCTACTCATGACCACTGTCCCCCAGCCTCGAGCAAGGGGTGCATGCACAGATGTTGATGTATACTTGTGGTGTTCATTAGAAGCTTCCCAAAGCTGGGTCTGAGCACTCCCTGTCCTGAACTGGGAGACGTGTAAGCTGTGAGCAGCAACTCATCCTCCGGAACCTTCTCTCCTTATCTGGCAGCCTGAGAGTCACGGCTGGAGTTGTTGCAAGGTTCCATGAAGTGGATTTTGACCGGGTAGGTGTGAACAGCCAGCCCCTCCATGGGCAGCCTGGCATTGAACTATTTTAGCACCAGGACTCTATTGCTCTGAGCACATTCCGGCTCATGGCCACCTCATGAACCAGTGTGAAGCCGTGCTCCAGAGGGGGTTTCCCTGGCTGATATTTAGGCAATAAGTCACCAGGTGTTTCTTCTGAGGTGCCTTGGAGGGAATGCGAACCTCCAACCTTGTAGTTAGCACGTAAGAGAGTAAACGGAGTCCACCACCTGGACACTCATTGGGAACCATAGCAGAACCAGTCCTTCGGGTTCAGGAATTACTTCCCCGGGGAAGAGACCTTGCTCCTTCGGGCACTTGGGGTGCTGCAGGTCTGCTCCCTGGCCAGAGGTCTCGTTGAGAACCTCTACAGAGCTGCTCCCTGGATGCGGGCACTGGCCGGTGAGCTTGTTGCATAACATCAAGACGGAGAACACTATGCCCTGACATGCAGCAAGGCACTGCCTGGATGTCAGTGTGTGTCCCTGTGGGCGCTCACGCCAACACACGCGGACACAGCAAGGACTCGGGGGCAGCTGAGGGCGCCCCCTAACTCCAAGTGCTCCTACATCCGGTCGGTTCTGAGACATGAGTTTTGTGATTGAAGATCCGGGGCCTGCGTGCTGGTGAGGCCTCTGCTGGTCTTCCGCCCCAAGGCTGGAGATCCCAATCAGCTTAAGTTGTTAAGTGTCTTAGCAAGAAGTCTGGACAGGACGGACACAAATAGCGTCCGAGTGCAGGGCAACTGGGGGGAGGGGAGGAGAGCGGGATCTTGGGAAGGAAGCAGCAGTCTTTTAGGGATGGGGGGCCCAAGGCCTGAGACGTAGTGGTGGCCCCAGAAGGGATGTGGGAGGAAGAGGACCCCCTCCCCAAAGCCGCATTGCACCATTGTCCCTTCCCCATGGGGGATGGCTTAGAATCCTGATGTTGTGACCATCCTGTTACATCATCAAAGACAAGCAATCCACTGTCTTTGGCCTTCAACTTCCCATCTGGAAAGTGGTCCAAATGACAATCCAACGCTTGAGGTTTATGCCTCTTTTCACTGGCCAGTCCTGAACCCTGAGCTCTCTGACCTTTAGACAACAGTGAGACCCTGACCTTTAGACAACAGGGAGCGGAGAACTATTTCCATTTCCAAACGACCTTCCCGGTCTGTGCCTGCAGCCATGGGGCCCGGGCCTGCCCGGTGCAGGTGCTGCAGCGTGGGCTGTGCTCCTCAGAGCAAGGGTGTGGCTGGTTCAAGCAAGGGGGCTGCTGGGGCTCACCCACTGAGTTGTCATCACGTCACCTTCTGCCTCCCCTGCCTCCACCCCCCATCTCCTGCGCCCCCACTGCCTCAGGGACAGCGGTGTCCAGGGAAGGTGAGCATGTCCTCTCGGAAGCAGAATGCAAGCTTCCATTCCCTGGCTGTGAGGCTTTAAGCTAATTACGTCACCTTTCTGAGCCCAGGGCTCCTTGTCTGTGAAACAGACGTAAGGATAACGCCACCACCCACCTCGCAGGCCCCAGGGCCAGGGCCCCGCACAGTGTCCATCAAGACAAAGAACTTGATTTTTTTAATACCCCTCTTCTTCAGGGAGGGTGTCCCTGGGTGGGTGTGTGCACGCGCGGTCACCACAAGGTTCAAGGTTCAAGTCCACCCAGAGGCTGCGATCTACTTCTGAAGTAGTGGCCATTGAAAGACTATGGGACGCAGTTACACTCGGATTCACCTGCCCCAGGAGGCAGAAGTAACTCGGCAGCGGCAGTAGCTGGTTTTTGTGTTTCTTTGTTGGTAGTGTTTTTCTTGAGTCACGCCAGACAGACCTGACCACAAGCAGCAGACTTGTGAGACAAGAGAGGACGGCGCTCTGACCGGAAGGACCGCAGCCCACGCACACAGACGTGTCATCCTCCAGAGGCCCCCGGAGGGGCTGGGACGCTGGCAGGTCTGCGGAGGCGGTGGCTTTGGCCCAGGAAGCTCGAAGCCTTCCTCGCCTGAGCCCTGCACCGGTCCTTACCTCCAGAACTTGTCCCCGGCAAAGATGTACGTCTTCTTGTTCTTGCTCCAGTTAAAGGCTGCATCCACTCGCTGGACATCAGCGGGCAGCCCCAGGCTGGTCAGCGGCTTGGGGTAACCTCGATCCAGGGTGCTGACAGAGTAGACCCAGTATTCATTCCCTGCGGTGAAAGCAAAGGGCGTGCTGCGTCAGGGCACGCGAAGCCCCCGGCCCGGCCCGTCCTGCCTATCATCTGCCTGCCAGGGGACCCCTGACCTTGGGGGCACTCAGCAGAGACATGGGTTTCTGCACGTATTCAGGGGCTGGTGTGCACGGCTGCCACCTAGGAAGCTACGAGAAGGTTCTCGAAGCTGCCGGCCAAGGAGAGGGGCCGGGAGGAGATACAGCCCACTCCGCTCACCAAGCCGCTAGCTATAGCTTTGCCACAAGAGACACACAGCGCCCTGGGCCCCTGAGACAGGGACAGAGGACATAGAAAGTGGTGGGGCTCAGGAGAAAAGAGAGAGGAAGTAGGGTGAGGAAAGGGGGAGGCTCAAAATAACTCACTGCCATCGAGTCAATTCTAACTCACAGCAGCCCTGCAGGGCAGAATAGAACTGCCCCTGCGGGTTTCTGAGACTGGAAATCTTTGCAGAAATAGAAAGGCTGCCCTTTCTCCTGTGGAGGGAGGGAGCGGCTGCTACATTCACACTGCAGGCTTTGAGGTTAGTAATTCACACCACCACCAGGGCACCTAATGGGGGACTGGCTGAGCGGAATACCACGAACCCACAGTCCTAGAGAGCTGCCTTTACCTCCGCTACGGAGTCTTTCCTAGCTGAGGGCAGGGTCTCTCCATGAGCCCCCTTAACGTGCCCCATTCATGGCTTGCCTCCCCCGGAGTCTGTGAGTACCTTCAGGGCAGGGTCTGTGTCCCCGGGCAAAGCCACCCCCCCCCCCCCCAGCAAAGCCCCAGATTCACCAGGCACTCACAGAAACACTACCTGAGTGGGTTTTCTGGGCCTCCGTCCTGTGAACATGTTTCTATGGGCTGCCATCGAGTTGGCCGACTGATGGCAATACCACGTGTCACAGTGGAGATGCCCAGAGTCGTCCCCCAGGGGCTCTCCCGGCCACCGTCATTACAGGAGCAGTACTCAGGCCTGGGTGGATGTGAACCACCTACCTACATGTGAGTGGCCCAGAGCGCATGGCTGGACTGCGCAGTCACCTGGGCAGCACAAAGGACCACTGCCCCGGCCACCCTGACCCTTCCAGACCATCTTGTTACTATGATGTACTTAGCTGTCTGTTTCCTATAAAGCTGTTTGGAAACTTTACAATATGAATGGAAGTTTCTTAAAAAAAAAAAAAAGCTAACTGAAAGTCTTGCCTGTGGAGGGTGCTCATGCTGGGAAGGTCAAGCCCATGGACACTAAAGAGATTTGCCTTCTGGGAAGGGAGTCAGAGGCTTAAAGAGGAGCAAACAGGAAGGAAATGAGAGGCTGCCTCCAAGGTGCAATCCACGCTTGGAAAGGAAGGTTGAAGGAGCAGATCTGGGGTCCGGGGCCGTGGACAGGCCCGCTGTGCAAAGCCCAGAGGGGTTGAGGGCAACACCCTTCCAAACACCTGCAAAGAAGACAGCCTTCTCTTCCTGTGGGGCCTCATACACCGCGTCGATCTTTTCCGGGACGTCAGGCCAGAATGTGGCCACCAGCAGAGGCCCCGTGGGCTTTTCATTTGGTGTCACCATCCTCCAAATGAACCTGGGGGTGGGCAAGGGACAGAGGAAGTCACACTTTGTCATTCTGCAGCACCAACCACACGCGCCGACCCAAGTCTGTCCAGAGACTCAATCCCAGATTCCCTGGGGTAGAGGCTAAGGAGAAGGTCAAAGGAAGGTTGGGGAAGGACCAGAGAGAGGCAAAGCTGCCCTCTGCAGGCAGCCAGGGCTGAGAAGCAACCTCCTTGCTTTTCCCCTTTCCTCCAGGAAGCCTCACTTGACTACCTCGGTCAATACTGCCC